CTCACCCTCACCCTCGCCCTCGCCCTCACCCTTCACCTTCATCAGCCTATTCATCATCATCATCATCATCAGCATTACAGTATATGGAGGACAAGAAAGAATCATGTAAACCAACAGAAAGAGGAGCAGTTCCAAGAATGTTATGGTGTGCTGTGGCATTAAAGCCGGAGCTGCGATATGATCCAAAATCGAAAGCCTTTCAGCAGCGCCAGCATGGTATCCAACACCTCGGCGATGTAGGATGTAACGGTTGCGCGAGACATGTTGAGACACATAGGGAGTGAGCGTTGCAAAGAGCCGCGAAGGAGATACAAAGCCACCGTGCAGTCCTCGGTTGCCAGGGGTCATGGGGCAAAGATCCCTACTAAAGAGGTCGGGATAATTGAGAACAGTACTACGCCTTAGGGTTCCACGGCCCTTTCGCAGCGCAGGAGAGCTGTTTGGGACGTGTTTGAGCACCATTCCGGTAATAGCAGTTGTTTCGTTACGCGATCGACCATGCTTGGCCTGGCAAACCTAACCGGCCTTCTCGATGTGCTTTTTCGGCTGTCAGGAAGATAGACACCTTTCCATCGTTTGCGAGTTTCCATGCAGATGGCTCTTCGTTTCAGTTTCCATATCGCCGCGTCCGTGTATTTGCAGGATGTCCTGGCACTTCGGCCGGAGCTGGATGCAAGCGACAGTGCAAAGCATGTTGGTGGGACCAGACAGACAGATGTGTCTTATGTGGAGAAGATGCCATTGCAACGCTCTGAGTCGCAATACAAAGCAACCGACTGCTCAGGGTTCCACGAGACGCAGTGCGAGGCAGACGTGACTCAGACGGTGTGCAGCAACATGGTAGCTGCTGTCACCAACCAGCACGTCTCAAGTGGTTCTACAGCTCAGACGAGAGGGAAGTGTTACCTTAAAAAAGGAGAAAACACAATGCGGTGGGAGCCAGAGGACATTGATTTTCAAAGACCTAGTTACCAACAGCTCTGTCTTTGTCGTGCTAAGTTGGTCCGCTATGAAATCACTGATGCTGACAGTCCATGCCGCTTCTTGTGCTACAACGACTACACGAAGTATTCGTTCTCGGAGGATTTGGCCAAACACGAGTGTGATGCCTTCCATTCCGACAAGTACATCTTTGACAGTAAGCGGAATATTTGCCAAGTGAAGAAGCCCGGGGTTCAGGTCCAATGCCTTGTTTTTGAGTTGTGACTGTTGGGGTGCTTTCGAACACAATTGCAGGCGTGAAGTTTGGGTCCTTGTTCAAACATCTCAAGACCTTTCGGAATATGCGCACGTCGTATCATTGCTTGTTCTTGATTGCTGTGATTGCTACAAGCAGGCCAAGCATCATAAACATATACATGTGTTGAGTCTGGCAGGCTTGGGTGCACATGCATCACTCTAAGCTTGTCGCTGGCTGCCATTTTGGTTCAAGTGTGATCCAAAACGGCAGGCAGCTGTTCTTTGGGTCTTTGCGGAGAGTCGACCCCTATTGTTTACTTTCCAGGGAGTGACGCTGTTGCGGGAGGGACCCGGGATGCATTATGCGATTAGCCGGTTGGCGGCTCATACCGAGGAGCAGCTTCTCCACTCGGCCGCGCTCTTGGAGTTTCGCAACAGGCTGCGCGAGCTGGTGGCGGCAGGAGAAGCTCATGAGGCAGCCCTGCTTTGGGGCTCCGTTCTCGAGGTGCAGCATTGCCCACCTCCGCCGGCAGGATTGCTTGAAGGCTTGCCGCCAGGTGTGCCGCCGGTTCGCACCGTCCCGTGTGTGCAGGTCGATTGCGCAAGATGCCGAGGAGGCCGTGGTGGGTTTCGGTTCCCGTTCGTCGGCACTTATGCAAGACGCTCTGTTGTGGTCACCGTGGGCACACCACCGGCTCAAGCCTGGAGCGCTTACAATCATGGCGGCGACGAGCGGCTCACTGCTAGGGAGGGCAGTCCCATGCCCGGGGAGCGACCCCGGATCAGTTGTGGTTGGCCTGGAGAGACTGGCATCAAGGGGAAGTGGTCTGGAGGGAACCAGCCTTCTTCCCAGTGCCTTCTTGGGATGAGGGGCGACGCGATCGTCGAGCCAGGGCACATCGGGCACTCTGGTTTCTGCTGGGGGCCGTGGAGGCGGGGTTGGACCTGCTACCAGCACCCTGCAGGTCCTGCGGAGTCCCGTCGTTCTTCCAGTGTCGACGGTGCCAGTGCTCAGCATGCCTTGACTGTTTGTCCCGCTGCACCTCATGCTCGTAGGATAGGGGCCCTGCTCGCAGCAGCACTTGCTGTCGGGCCGATGTCCGGCATATAGCCGGCATGGCGCAATCGACGCGCCACCGGGCTCATCCGCTGAGACAGTGGTGGACCGCCTTCTCTTCCTGGGAGGAGGCGGCACAGAAGGCAGGGCACGCCGTCGCCTTGGTCAGAGCTCTCTCACGACTTGGAGGATGACGCTATCCTTGTGTGGCCTGGTGGATCTGGGAGGTGGCCCAGCCTGGTGGCGTTAAGGCGGTGAGGTTGAGTCATCTGGTTCGCAGGCCTGTGAAAAGGCGGGGCGCAGCCGGAAGCGCGATACGCCGGCAGTGACGGGCACCGAGCTCTGCGACTTCTTGGTCGACGCTGGGGCTCGCCAGCCTGGTAGGGCTGGCCGTGGGCCGAAGCATGGGTGGAAGCCTACGGGGCTTTGCCAGCCACCAAACGGCAGCGCTGCGGCATCTGCTTTGACAGCTCAGACCACCCGTAACAACTCCGGCAGGTGACCTTGTTGACGCAGGAGTAATTTAGTGCCCTCGATCCTCCAGTGACGACGTATTCGTGGCGGCGGGTGGCGCCCTCGGTTGCCGCGCTTCTCCTTTCTCTTCTGGCGCATTGGAGATTCGACCGACAAGGAAAAGCTGAAGTCGTCTGGTACAGCAATGCCGCTGCATTACAGTGGGACCCGCTATGCCCTCAGCGTCCGGACGAAGCACTTGGTACTGTCAGCCGCGGCGCGTACGACTCTTGCGATTCGGTACCTCCAGGCCTCTTGGACCCTTCGGACACAGGCCTCCGGGAGGAGGTTGCGTCCGGTTGGATGACACCACTATCTGGAAGGCTCCTACTGGGACTCCCGGGCCTCAGGCCAAACTCGCGTTCAAGACGACGGCCTTGAAGCTGAGGCGGCGGCGGGGCACTCCGAATCTCGACACCCAGTGGCATCGCCGAGGACCCGGGTCGCCCACCGCTACCCCGGAAGCCGAAGCTACCAGTTGCTGAGTCGCCAACTTTGAGGCCGGCTTGTTGTCTGGGTGTGTTGTGTGCGTGCAACATGTGCAGGTGTCTTTGCCTCTGCATTGCATGCCCCTCTCACTCGCTGTGTGCTTTCTCTGCGCAGGTGTTCCGCGTGAGTTTCGGCTTGAGTGAGGTACATTCGAGCAAGTCTGGGAGGGACCCAGTCGGCGGGGAGCCGAAGCCTGAGTGACAGGCGGGTGGGCAGCATGTCGCAAGCCCTTGTCCCGAGAGACGGGACGGATTTCAAGGCGTCTTTGGACACCCTTGCCCTCAATTTTTCTCTAGCCCCCATGCATGATCCAGGCGCGTCTTCTGGCGGAAGGGCTGAGCCACTTGGAGGAACTCCGCTTCTTCTTTGATAACGAGGAGCACGTGGGCCGTTGGGTGACAAAATTGAGGCTTGGGGACAAAACCATGTTAGAGACATCCCGTCTTCGGCGAGCTTGGGCGGCGGTGCGTCTCTATACTTCTCTATCTCTGAGCAAGATCGCTCTAAGGTGGCCCTGACCGACCTTGACACCATGCTGGAAGATGTGGAACTGCGTGATGTTAAGCAAGCCTTCTGGAAGCGCTGCCGCATGCGTTTCCCAGCCGAGGTGCATCCTGCAGATTCACTGCTCTCCAGGGTGTCTCGTGAGCTCTCGAAACGGATGCGATGTGTCTTTGCCGCATGGAAGGTCCGCTCGCTTCATTTCCAGCTCACAAAGTACAGCGCAAGTGCAAGTTGGGCGAAAGTTTGTATACTGAAGAGATTGAGACTGATGAGTCTGTTTCCAAGGACGCGGACACGTACCTTGACAAGCTCTACACATTGCTCCTGGCTTATTCTATGGCGGGAGTGCACCCGCTTCCAGGTGTGGACGCGAGCAAGGAAGCCTCGCTCAGTGCTTCTTCAGTGGAGTTCGTGGGGGATGTAGCTATGGCATATTTCTTTCGGGCCAAGAAGTGTGTGTCTGCTTTGGCCCCTTCTCGGCGGCTGCACTGGTTGCAGACTAAGGATATCGAAGACGCAGCGAGTGGGTCACACGTTTTCGTGAAGGGACGTCCTCCTTGGGCGTCGTCATCAAGCAGGTGATGGAGGCCAGGGACGCGCATTGCGTCGTTACAAGGATGGCTGCACCAGGCGACCGGAGGGACCGGTCAGTCAACCGTGCAGCCATCCTTGCAGGTGTTGCATTTTCGGGAGGATGCAAGGTTGGCGGCAACCGCGTGGCGGCCGTGCTCAAGGACGGCGCGAAGTTGTGCCCTGATTTTCAGCTTGGGAAATGCTCCCGAAGTGTCAGAAAGGTGCACACAAGTGTGGCGTCATTGTGCTCAATCAGCGGGCCTGCGGCTCACCTGGGCACGGGGCTAACCGCAGTGCCGTGAGAAGGTCAAGTGATCGAGGGTGCCCCGAGGCGGGAGTGGAGGACCTTGCCTCAGCTTCAGAAGCTCCTGATGATATGCCCCCCCTCATGATGGACCTTATGTGTGGCCCCAACGCCCCTTTGACTCGTGCTTTCTTGTTTTGTGGCTGGCGCGCAGGACCGATTGATACCCTGCGCAGGATTTGTCTTGGGAAGAGTTCCAGTTGGAACTCCGCAGCAGCCTGGATCAGTCATGTTTGCAGTTCGCCGCCCTTGACTGTTGTACCAAATCAATCATTCGCGAAATCCCGGTCAAGCTTCCGAGTGGCCACACAGCCCCAGGCCCTCTAACGCAGCCATGAGCACCCCATGGGTCTGCCCGGCTTGAACATTAGTGACCAGCGCCGCGTCTCCAAGGATAATTGCGCCTGCAAGTTTGTCTTGGATGAGCAGCAGAAAATCCTCGAGCGTGGTGGCGGTGCTATCCGTGAGAACCCCAGCAACAGTCTGCATTGGTGCATCCCACAGGAAGCGGAGATGTGGGCCTCCGACCCATGGTGGGATGCCAGGTATGACGCCTATTGTTTCATGGGCGCACGGCGGAAGCGCCAGCGGCTGCAGCACAACATCTGGGAGTTGACCCAGGACCCATCAATGCTGTGTCATCACACCCACCAATCTGAGGAGTGGAAGCCCTGGGAGTCCAATGGCCAGGTTGTGTACTCTTCCAAGGAAGAGGCAGAGTACACTGCCCCATTTGCCTGCCACGTCGCAGTGGCTTGCAGCTGGTGGCATGCCGGCTTGGTTTTGCCAAGCTGCGCCACCAGTGCAATGTGTGGGGCGTCGTGAGCACTGGTTGGATATCGACCCTATAGGGCCCTGCGGGAGTGGGCGATGTCACCTTTGGCTATCGCTCTGGGTTTGCGGCCCATTGACCCAGCCGAGGCAGCCAGGGTACCGGTTCGAGTCACAAGATGCTGCCGCCAGGTGTGGTGTACGTGGTTCGGGGTCACCACTCACACCGTCTGCCTGTGACTCAGTGGGCCTCGCCGTTCGTCCTGACCACAACTGTGGTGTCGATGAGTGGCCTGCGTTGTATGTTGAGCATATTCTTGCCAATCTTCAGACAGACTTGCGGCAGCTCGAGGGCAAGTCCCTGGCTTGCGACTGCACTCTCTCTCACGTCTGCGACGGTGCTTTGGTGCCGCAGTTGGTGAGTGCCCAGCAGCGGCAGTGGCAACGGACTGCTGAGGGAAGGGAGGCGGGCGCCATGGCGCACAGGGCGGCGTTGCCACCCGTGCTGCCCTTCGGGCTCAGCCCCGCGATGCACTTTTCGACCTTGCCAGTGACCTGGCTCGTTACCCCACCCCCTTCGAGCAAGGCGCTGCTCTGGATCTCGATGTTTTGCAACGGAGGTGGCCGCTCGCGAAAGGGGTTGCCTGAGAGACAGGCGCCATCGCTCGATGGGGGCCATCAAAGCATTGAAGCGGAGGTGGGCAGGGTTTGACTCCTGCCTCCGTGCGCGCCAGCAACAGCAGTTGCGCAAGGTCACGCAGCATCGCGACATTGGCTTGTTGGCCTTGCTTTGCCTCCTCGTGTCCTGGGGTGACGCGACTCTTCCAGCCGATTTCCTGTTTGGTATGGTAGCAATTAACACAGCACCGTGGTATGGTGTGTTCCCGGACCAGCCGTGTCGGCTGATCTCTCAGGCTGAGGTTTTGCAGGATGCTGAAGCATCGAACGCTCGGGTGCGAGCGAGTCTGCGGCCGGGTCGGGACGACGACTTTCTTTTGGCCCAGAGTCTCCAGGATGCGCAGAGTGGGTTTTGCAGCGAACCCATGCGCCATGCCGAGCTGCTCCGAGCCGTGTGCGGGGCATGCCTTTTCGGCTTTTCCCCTGCTGCGTTATCACGCAGAGCAGCGGTAAACAGCGTATCATAGATAACGCGGAGGCGGGCGGCCAATCGACGCTGAGTTCCGACCCTAACAAGCTCGTGCTTTGCTCCCCCCTTCGCCCAGCCCAGCATGCCGCTGCCATGCTGGCCTGCCTATCCGCCGAGGCAATCTTGCAGGCGAAGGCGTGTGACACCACATTGAGGGCGCCGGGGAGGATTGGCCAGAGGCCTACCGCCGCTGTCCGATGGATAGTGCCTCTTCCCGTTGTTGTGTGGTGGCGTGGTGGCACAAAGGGTGGGGTGAGCCTGGCCGTGACCAGCTTCAACCGTTACAACTGTGTTGCCGAAGCTTTGGGGCGGCGGCTCCTTGCCATCCTGGTGTCCATGTATTTCGATGATGCGCACTTGACTGATTGGGCATCTTCCAAGGGCTCCGCTCAGGCCGCGTTCGCCTCCCTGAACACCTGCTTGGGTTCCCCCTTTGCCGAAACCAAGCGGCAGAAGATGGCGTCCACCGGTACCTTCCTCGGGCTCAACTTTGATTTCACCGAGTGCTTGTGGAGTGGTGTCGTGCGCTTCTTTGTGCATGATCGGTTGGTCGAAAAGGTCCAGGACCTCATCCACCAGGCGTTGTCTACAAACTCCCTTCTTCCCGGTCTAGCAGCCAAGCTCTATGGTACATGCAATTTCTTGGAGCAGGGCATGTATGGTCACGTCGGTGCCGGCGGATTGAGAGCAATCCGAGAGCGAGCTGACCAGGGGGGCCGGGAGTTGACCCCGCCTATCCATACATGCTTCGCCTTGATTCGTGCCGTGCTGTCAGCTCGCCCCGAGCGGGAGTTTGATATCCTGCCCCGTGTGTGGCCCCGTTTTCTGGCCGCGAGTGACGCGGCGGAGGACACGCCCGGGGAGGGCTCGGGCGGCTTCCACCTAGTTTGGCTTGATACGCCCGAGGTCTGGGAGAGTTTTGTCGCGGAGATTGGGCATGAGGTCTATGCCTGCTTCTCACCCGGAGACCAGAAGATAGCCCAGCTTGAGCTGGCGATGGTCTTGTACGCCCTCGCAGTCCGAGCTCCGGCTTTTCGTGGCAGGCGCGGCTTCTGGTACATCGACAATGTGGCTGCGCTCATGTCTCTTATTCGTGGCCGCTCTAGTTCTCCCGATTTGGAGCGGTTGGCACAGCTCATTCATCTCGCCATGTTCGCGTTGCGTACTTCCTTTTCCTTCGAGTATATTCCTTCCAAGACGAATTGGGCTGACGCTGTCAGCCGAGTTGGTTTTTCAGATGCCTGGCTCCACCAGCGTGGCTTCGGTTGCCATGTTGCTTGTTTTCCGTTTCAGCTCGTGGATCTCCCTTTCCTCGCGGTGCTGCGCGTGTTCGAGTTCCTTTGAAGGAGTGCTTTGGGGGTTCAGTGCATTGGGTGTTCTCTTCCGAGGTCAGATTTGTTCGAAAGGTGGGAGGGAACCTTTCCGTCCATGTCGATTCCTCGATGTTTTTACCAAAGCACTATCCCAGAGAGTCTGGGTTGCCTTCAAAGGTTCGAACTCAAAGCAGCTGTGAGCGCGATATGAAAAAGGGTGAGTGCGAGCAGTACCGTATCTAGTACAAGCTGGAAGGTATCTTCAGTTCGTTTCTCGTGCTGATAGTGAAGCCTTACACAAATCATGAGTCATGCTGTGCGATTGAATGTTTGGGCGATTTGTGTAGAAAGTTGTTGAGGACCACAAAGACAAAAAGCTATGCGGATGCTATGGAGGAAAGCTTGCGCAACGTATGGTGCACGCTATCTGGGATTTTGCCGATGCCGCAAAGTTGTGCGAAGCGGCTTCTGAGGTATACACGCTGGACCCCACAGAGGCCTGTGACCGCAGCTCTGCAATCGCGCAGCGCATTGTTGAGAGCAAGCTCGTGACCGAAGAACGTGCGTCATTTCTTTGGCAAGCTAAGCAAGGCAAGTGTCAATTGAAACCTCAAGGTCGTGCCAGACCCACCTGCAGTTATCAGTTCAGCCCGGAACATGCACAGACCAACTCACATTTTGTGGGTTATGGAACGAGAAATATCGCCCAGCTCCCCATGTAGCCGAAGGGGAGTCCGAGCTTCATAGAAAAAGTTGCGCATGAAGTTTGTGGCGAGGTCCTAAAGTCGTACTGTCTTTGCAGCCCGGAGTATCAAGCGAATTCGAGGCTCAGTGAGTTTCAAGAGACGGGCTCTGACTTGTCGTTGGAAGCTGAGGCAGGGATGTTTTTGATTGCGCGAGGTGGAGTTTTGTTCGGTAGAGCTATAATGGTGTACAAGCCGCATGCCGTGCAGCCGGACAGCCTCAGACAGCATGTCATGTGTGCCATGGCTTTTGGTTCTCCGGGACCCCTGCCCTTGCGGCTTTGTGTTTGTGTCGGTGTTGTCTTGGGCATCTTCAATGACCGACTGGAGCATGACCATTTCCGTGGCATACCACCCGGGCGTCCGCATCCCCCCAGCGACAGAAAGCCAGTTGACGACTTCTTCGAGGAACTTGGCCTGGCGCGACCCAATTGCGAGAGCAGCTGCGACTGCAGCTTACGGGCCGGCTGCACATGCAAGATCGTCTTTTGGCGAGACCAAAGGTTTATTGACAGCATTCACCTAAAACGCTGCAACTTGACAGGCCGACGGATACACTCTAATTCCACTGTGTTGCAGCTGAAATTCCTACAGAGCTTGAGCATTCGTGGAAGCGGACTTGAAGGGTCGGTGCCCACAGGCTTTTCAACGGTTGCTGAGCTGGATCTGTTTGGAAACGAGCTGACCGGCGACATTTCCGTCCTGAAGGACTTGCCCAGAGGCTTGAAGCGAATAGTTTTATCCAGCAACAGGCTTGTTGGAACTATCCCGGAGCATCTGCCTTTCAATCACCTGAAGGAGCTGCGCTTGGCCAACAATGCCCTGACAGGTGGAATCCCTGCGAAGCTTTTTGCGGCAGCAAGATTGGAGATCCTCTCACTGGCCAACAACAAACTCAGTGGAGCAATTCCTGACATTTCCTCCCCGGTAGGGCCTTTGGGAGAGCTTTACTTGGAAGGAAACCAGCTCCTGGGCGAGATCCCAAGCAGTATCGCGAAACTGAACGAGTTGCGGGTTCTGCGCCTGGAGCACAACGCTCTGGAAGGGAAGATCCCAGAGGAGCTGTCAAGCCTGCTGAGCTTAAAACAGCTTCGGCTCAATGGCAACAAGCTCCGAGGACCAATCCCGGAAGGTCTCGGCAAGCTGCGGAACCTCACGGTCCTCCAGCTGAACGATTTGGCTTTGGACTGTCCGATTCCCGAATCCTTGGGCAGTTTGACCGAGTTGATAGTGCTGGATCTGTCGAACAGCAACCTCAAGGGGGCCATTCCAGCTCAATTCGCACAACTAACCAAGATGGAGAGTCTTTCCTTGATGAACAATGACTTGTGGGGTAGATTGCCTCCACTCAACATGCCTGAGCTGAGGGTTGCCCTCTTGGGCCGGAACCACTTTTCTGGACCTTTACCTACAGCTTTTTGTGAGATGCAGCAGTTGCTGAGCCTCAGTCTCCATTGGAACAACCTGAATGGAGCCCTCCCGCACTGCTTGGGACATGTCACCAACCTGACAGATCTTTTCCTGGCCCACAATGAGTTCGACGGAGAAGTCCCAACAAGTTTTTCCAATCTGGATCAGCTAGAGGTGATTACGCTTCACAGCAACCACTTCGGCGGCACCATTCCAGAGCTGACCCAAAGCAGCCTCACAATCGCAACCTTTCATGACAACGACTTTGCGGGTAACATACCGGCATTCAACCTTTCGGCCTCTTGCAGCAACAGCCCGTGGTATAGACTGCATGGTATGGACTGCTTGATGCTAGAAGCGGCCATGGAGCGAGAAGATGTCAGGGACTGTGGGGAACTGCAGTCGATCTTCAAAATCGAAATTTCCGGGCTTCTGCAGCAGTGCCCGAAAACTTGTAATACTTGCAATGTCAATGGACTGCAGGCCAAAGCCACACTGCACGGGAATCGACTTGCTGGTTCGATCCCTCGGTCCATCAATAGTTCCAGAATCCAAACCACAGCTCTCATGGGGAATTTGCTTGGTGACGGTGAGCCTCTTGATGCGAATTGGCTGCCACCGGAGGACCCTCGTTTGTGTTGGGACGGTGTTGATGTTTTTTGTTGCTGTTTCGTTTAGGAGTGAATGGGATCGATTCTGCAGTGCTTGCCAGTGTCCAATCCAGGAGTTGGAGGAGCACTTTCTCTACTATTCGAGCGAGGAAAGTGCGAAACACGTGGACATGGCACTAGTCCTGTGCTTTCTGATGTTTCTGTTTCTTCTTCCGCCGTGGCTGACGCGCTTGAAGGATGCCGCAACAACTGTGACCAAGCCGCCCAGCAGTCTCGTGAAGAAACTTACCCAATCCTACATTCAGGTGCTGCTCATAGCAGCCTGGTGTGCCACAGGGTGTCTCGTAACCTGCCCAATCTACTACTTCCATGCAAGCAACTATCTGCATACACAGCGGTGTCCGCTTCTGGCCAGCATAACCGCCGCCTACTTTCAGGGCTCCGGGAGCCAAGAAGTGTTCAAGTTCTCGGAAGCGTTCATGATAGCATCATGGTGCGCTTTCGATGTTTTCATTCGCTTAACGGCTCTCCGCATCAAGCCCGCAATACGGAATCAGGGCAGTTCCTGGCACTGAGTTGGCATTTGTGTTCTTAGTCTCATAGACATCGGAGGCAGGTTCAGGCAGGTAGTGATGCGCGCTGAGTGCTTCCTCTTCTTGGCGATCTCTGAGGTCGGGGCAGCACTAGGTGTACGACGAGGTGTTTGTTGTGGATGATTTGGCTATTAATCGTTTTCCTGATCTCGATGCCTCAGATCCTCTTCGCCATGGCAGAGGCTCGGCCGTGGGCGTTGTTTCAGGACATGGCTGACAACGACCTGCAAGAAGAGTAGGGTAGGGAGCCAGTATGCAGAGAAATATGTGTCACAAGCTAGGGAAACTTCTTTGGCTCGCAGAGTTACCCGCTGGCGAGGCCGTGCCAAAGGGATCGGAGTACCAAGGGTGGTTGGAGGTCTGCCACAGAGCGGCTGGCATCGTTGGTCCTCTTGTGGACATGTTCGTCGCGAGCAAACCCAGTACGACATTTGCTGAAAAGACGAGGCTGTTAGGAGAGCCGATCAAGGCACATACCTTGCTCATGACGCTACAGCTGTGCTCACAGTGGATGCTGCCCATGCTGGCCACCGTGCTTCTGCATGAGAATTGCATGGGCGGATGGAAGATGTTTTGGGGTGTTTGCACCGACACAGTGACATCGAAGAGCTTCGACTGGAAGGTTTTTGACATCGAAATCCTTACCACGAACGATATGTGCGAGTACAAGTTGCAACGCTTGTGGGAAGGGCGCTGTAGCCGCTCTGTCATTCAGGACCTGTCACCTCTACTTCTGCAGAAGCTGCTTGTGAAAGCCGTTGTGCTTCCAATCGGTCTTTGGCTTCTTTGGCGCTCGTTGCTTTGGCGAGGGCTTTGGTATGCGAGTGACGGTTCGGGGCTCCGGCCTGTGGCCGCGCTGCTTACCAAGCCTATGAAGTCCATGGGGCAACACGCCACCCTCATGACATGGCTGGAGCAAGCCACAGTTTGGGCGCCCTTGGCCCCTTTCCTCAGTGTTGCGATTGCGGCAGCTGCTGCACACAATCTGATGTTAGTCCACTTCGCCTGGAGCAAGCGGGTTCCCTTCGCCGAGACGGGAGTTCCAGGTGAAGAGAGTGCAGACGAGGCCAACTTGAACGCGTCTTTGTCTCGCAGTCACCTCCGCGGTGCCTTGGCCATTGCGTGGAGTTTCCAGCTCTGGCATGCGTGCAGCAATGGAATGAGCGGAGTTGTGCTGTTGCTTCCTGTGGGACTTCTGGTCGTCATTCCGGATGACAAGCTGAAACAATATCTTCCAGCGGCGCTGGAACATTTGTTGAAACCCGATCCGCATCTCGACGGTCCGGTGGAGATCGAGTTCCAAGTGCGAGAAGCCGGCCAGACTCTGAGCGCTCTGAGGTGACGGCGCAATCCTCGACTTCGGCGTCCTGATCGGATTCTGCACAGCTCTACCGGCCCTGCAGCTTTGTCGACGGAAAAAGGAGTCAAAGCAAAGAGCCCAACCTCCCTAAACCCTAAACCCTAAACTGCAAAGCCAAAAATTCCTTAAGGCACCTCTGCCGCTGCCTGGCTGGCTGCGGTGGCCATGCCGCCCCCGAGAGCCAGCTCCGTGAGTCTCGAGCCCCAGGCATCTTCTAACGTTCAGGCTTTTATCACTTGGGTTACTGGCGCGGTCTCTTCTACATTAGATCACTCTGGGTTTTTTTAAGCAGTTCAGTTCAGGGTGTCGGAGTTCGTGGGCTTGAATGTTTTGGATTGCCGGCTTCGCGCTGTGGGGCGCCCGAGGCCAGGACCTGCGGTCTGCGACAGACGTGCTGCGACGTGGCCTGGATGTGGCCTTGCGTACCTCGGCCTGCGGTGCTTTGGAGCTTTCAGGGTCCTTTTGGGTGAAAAGCGGACGGGTGGGAGGTTTCTTTGGTCTCTCCGGGTTGAGGGCATGGAGGGATCGGAGGGATTTTGGATTCGGGGTTTATTTAGGGTGCCGGGAATTTCCAAGGCCCTCAACCTAAAGTCCTTGCCTGCAAGGTCATCCGCACACCGCCTGACGATATTCGGCCCTTTGGGTTCAGCTAACAATCCCCTGGGTGAAAGGCTCTACATGGTTTTCATGACTTCATGATCTTCACTGCAAACCCTTCGATCAACCTTAGCAGACAAACGCTGAGAAACGAGGTCCATTGCGAAGCATACTATGCTGAAGCTGATGAGTTTCGCAAGAAGGCAAGCTATGGCTTAAAAGGTCGTCCAATAGCCGAGAACCCAAGGCCTTATGTCACACAACTTTCCATGATCAGCTGCGCTGACGGACGATCCCAAAGAGTTCTCATGTCGAGGTTGCCGGGGTTTTAGGTGTGCGGCTCGTCTTAGCTTGGTGCACGGGACATGGGTTTCATGGGTGCAAGACTGTCTAAAGCTCCCGTTCCTAACGAAACAGATACGCTCGGAACCTCCAGTCCTTGGTCCCCGTCTTATTCAGCCCTCGATGCTGCAGTGCAAGCCTCCTTGCAGGTGTCCGCATCTTGCTGGAGGTGCACCCGTCGGAGTCTTGTGAGTCATGCAACGCAATGTTTGATGCCTTTGGTGTTCTCCAAGACGGGATCTACTTCGGAGCACTTCCATTCTCATAAGATGTTCTTCCCATCGTCATCGGATAGCTCACCCGCTCCAAGCAGCATCTTTAGCCTATGTCGGGTCCGTCGAAGTTTGCAGGGGTTCAGATTCATGATTGCTATTCCCTTTGATGCCCCTACTGGTTCTTATCCCAGCTATTCTTGTTGCGGCCATGGTTTTTGCTTATGATGCTTCTGAGCCGACATGTATCGCAAACCTTTTGCCTCCCACCAGTGCTGCTACTGCTACCATTGATGCTGCTGTTGTTCCGCTGCTTCTTTCCTTCTGCTGATTTCTA